CACACCCAGAGCAAATGAGTTACCTGCTTTAAAAACTTAAAAAAAAAATCAGATTATGTCATTTTCATAAAAACAGATGGAAATGGAGGTCATCATGCTAAGACAAGAGAGTCAAAGACAGACAGGCTCAGACAAATGCCACCTTTTACTCCAGCATGAGGCATTTGGGCAGAGAAATACATGAACACACAACATGCAGACAGAAGGGCATTTTGGGGAGGAGGGCAGGGACCCGGAGGGAGGAGGGGGATCAAGAGAGTATGGTGGGGGTGAATATGAATATGAAGACCGTGATCCCATGTCACAGTACAACCCTGTACTTTCAGCTCTGGCTGAATCAATGAACGGGGTACACAGACTGGCTAGAGTATTATTCCGTGCCGAAAGACGCATACTGCATCTTGCCCCCTAGATGTGGAAACTAAGTCGTCTGGATTTCCAGAAGCCCCATGGGATGTGGGGGACGCTGCTCAGAAGTTACCGTTCTGTATCGGTGACTCAGTCAGAGGCCCTGACCGAGGCCATAGCAACTTTCATCAACAACAATGATAATCATATTTTGACTGTTGCTGCCATTTCCACAGAAAGAGAAAAACGCAGTCGGGCGAAACGGCTGAGGTGGTGAAGCGAACGGAAGTGACCGTTTTACAGTGTTTGTGTCCCAGACCCCAAGTTTCAAAAGCACGTGTGCGAAACGACTCTGTTGTGCGAATGATACCCAGACAGTTGGGGCTGACGGAGGCGAGTTGCTCAGTGGCCCTTCCTCCTTTCTCTCCTTCCCTCCACGCTTCTGCTCTTTCCCTCTCCACCTGCCCCCGCCCCTACCTCCTTCCTCCCATGCCTCCCACCCCCACTTTGGTTTTTGAGATCAGACCACAGTATGTAGCCAAGACTGGCCTCAAACTAGCAAACCTCCTGCCTCAGCTTCCTGGGAATGTTGGAAGGACAGGTGTGTGCCGTGATGCCCAGCTTTATACGCATGGATTTTCACAAACAGAATCGACACTGCCCGCATCCGGAGAGGAGATGCACCGTTTTCCCGGCAGTCACACACCGAGAGCCCAGGAATGGTTCGGCCCATAAAGTACAGGGACAAGGACCCGAGGTTCATTCTCAGCACCCACATAAAAGCTGGGTGTTAAGACCCCAGTGCTGGCGGGAGACAGCCAAAGAACCCTGGGGCTGCCTGGCCAGAGGGCTGCAGGCCAGCAATGCCTGAGGAGTGACACCCAAGACCACCCTCTGTGCCCCACACGAATGTACACACAAGACCGCACACCTAACGATTTAAAATGATTTATTACATTTTTAAAGTTAAAAAAAAATTATGAGTATGGGTGTTTTGCCCGCATGGATATCTGTATACTAGGTGTGTTACTGGTGCTGGAGGAGGCCAGTAGAGGGTGCTGGATCCCCTGGAACTGGAGTTGCAGATAATTGAGCTGCCAGGTGGGTACTGGATTTTGGTTTTATTTATTTACTTTTTGTTGTTGTTGCTGTTATTTGAGACAGGGTTTTTCCGTGCAGCTCTGACTGTCCTGGAAGTTGCTCTGTAGCCCAGGCTGGCCTCAAACTCACAGAGATCGCCTGCTTCTGCCTCCCGAGTGCCGGGATTAAAGGTGTGCGCCACCACCGCCCGGCTGTAGCCAGTGCTCTAGAGCCAGGGCTCCAGCTGCCAAATGTTAGCACATTTTAATTAATCTATTCAGTGTGCACGTGTGCGTATATGTGTGCGTGCCACAGCCAGGGTATAGAGGTCAGAGGATGACGCTGGAGTCAGTCAGTTCTCTCCTACCACCTTGTGGGTCCTGGGGATCAAACCCAGGCTTGCACTTTACCCAAGGCGCCCTCTTACCGGCCTGAGTCCCATTTCACACCGCTCCCGGCACTCACTCACACTCAGAGGTGGGAGGGGGACCTGCTGTTAACACTGTAGACGCCAACGTGCTAATGATAAGCATCCAGTCATCCCTGCCAAGACTCCCAGATCCAGAAATCCACTACTGGGAATTTCTCCTACAGAATAGGCATCAAAGGACGTGGGAGTGAGTACCTTCATCTCATGCTCTGCGGGCATCTCTGTCATCAGAGACGGCTGGACCGCAGAAGGAACAAGAGATGGTTTATTCTGGAGCCAAATGAGTGACAATGGCCTGGCAACCCCAAATACTATGTTCCAACATGGAAAGACTATGTGACATTTTTCTGGTTATAGAAATAAAGAAAACAATAAATCAAGACCCCTTTAAAATTCAGATGGGAACAGCCTGTAAGGGGGTGGGGGACCTCTGCTGTAGGTGTCGGCTTTTAGGTTGGTGAAAGCTAGTGTAGGTTAATTAGTCACAGGGATGTCAGGGCACACACGGAGGCAGGCAGTGAGGGGCTATCGAGGGAGCTAAGGGTAGCCCCATATCATCTGGGGCAGAGCCTGCGACAGCCCAACTCTCCCTAGTGATGTGGTTGTGATGGGCAGCCAGGCAGGGGCACAGTTAGTTTCTCTGGGAATCTCAGCTCAGAACGAACCTCAAAAGGACCAGAGGAAACAGCTGCTCAGCCTCCCGGGGATGCTGTAGCTAGGAATGAGTCATTAAACCATGTAACGTTGGTCATTGGCAACAATACCCTCTCAGCAGAGTAGGCATTCAGAAGTTCTCAGTTTACACATGTGGTCACACAGCAGATCAGGTTCAAGTTTATCGATGGAAACTAAACGTGGGGAGAAGGAAAAGGGAAGGACGCGAAGAACAGCCATCTGTGGCGGCACATGCCTGTAATTCCCGCACTTGGGAATCTGAGGCAGGAGGATGGCTGTGAGTCTGAAGCCAACCTGGGCTACATAGTGAGACCCTGTCTTAAAAAGAAAAAAAAAAGTGAGAGATGAGAGAATAAAAGTAAGAGAAAGGAAAGAAAAAGAAGAAAATAAAAAGGGAGAGGAAATGAAAACTGAATGATCTGGAAACTCAATAAGTAAAATGGAGATGTGGGGCCAGGGTATGGTCGAGCTGCTGTAGTACTGACCTTGTGAGCTGAGGTCCTAGGCCCCTGCCTTGTCCCTGGCACGGCAGAAGGCAGAAGCAATACTCCGAACAGACAATATTTATGAATGAAAAAAACCCAAAAACCAAAACCCCATCCATCAAAGACGGCTCCACAGGCACCCATGCAGCGTCTCTGGAGGGTCCAAAAGCCATGGTGTGCTCTTCCACGGTGTGCGGAAAGGGTGTGGGACAGAGCCCTGAGTTGTGTTTTTCTTTTCTGTGATGAGTCACACAGAAGGGTCAGCTTTTGAAAAGCCTAGTTTAAAGACTTAGCTGGGCTTAGCCACTTAGCCAGGCATGGTGGTGGTGCACACCTTTAATCCCAGCACTCGGAGGGCAGAGGCAGGTGGATCTCTGTGAGTTCGAGGCCAGCCTGGGCTACAGAGCAAGTTCCAGGACAGCTAGGGCTACACAGAGAAACCTTGTTTCAACCACCACTCCCCTCAAAAAATAAATAAAAATAAAATTAAAAAGGAGGAGGAGGAGAAGAAAGAAATGCTGCTTAGGCTGGACTGGCCCCCAGCCGGGACTGGTCATCTCTCTAAGAACTGTCACTGCAGGCTTGACGCCCCCCGCCTGGATGTTTGCAGGGGTGCTACAGCTCTGGACTCAGGCCCTCCTCAGGAGCCCTAGCTAGTGGGAGTAGAAGTTGGCAAATTTAAATTCCTTTTTGATTTTATCATCTATTTCTATTTTGATGAAATCCAGGTCACATAAAACACACCACTGTAAGCAAAGTCTACAATCCAGTGGCCACAGAAAGCCACTGACACCCCCGTTGCCCCTCACAAAGCACCCTTAGCTCTGGCACCCTCCCTCGATTCTTGTCTGTGTGGATCTGGACTCCAGGGACAGCCCATGAGCAAGCCCGCAGCCTGCGGCGTCCTCCTGAGTTTGATGGACCCGGCTGTATCTGAGTGCCGTTCCTCTTCACAGTTGAGTAATACTCCCAGACTGCTGTTCGTCAGCTTTTGCTTATTAGTATCCTAAATCAAGCTCCTCCACAGTTGGGTGTCACCGAAGGGGAAGTTTCAAAGCTGTACCTGTTGACATCATCTGGTGTGGACTCTGGAGATCCCCGCTAGAACCTCTGGCCTTATTAACCCACTGGTGCTCAGACTTTGAAAGTCAGAGCCCTTTTCCCATAACAGTTTGTTTCCACTGAGGTCATTTTTATTTCACCTAAGAACAGATCCTTTTATGGTTTAGATTAACTGGAACACAGCAGAGAACAGGGTTTCCCTATAATCCACTCACCATTTCCAGCTGTGAATACTTGCTATGGTCTAAATGAACATGTTCCCAGAATCCACACATTGGCACTGGACAGCCCGTTGGATAGGACCAAGAAGTAGAGGGGCTGGACAGACCTGTGTTCAGAGGTCCAGCAGCCTTGTACACGTGTGTGTGATGGGGCCTGTCTATAACTCCTGTCCTGGGGAGGTAGAGACAGGAGGAACTCGGGAAGCTCATCCGCCAGCCTAGTCTAACCCAATGGGCGAGCTTCCGGTTCCGGTTCCGGTTCCAAGAGAGAACCTGTCTCAAAACAACCACGTCATCTTGCAAGCAAACTGCAAGTGCTGAGAACAGAATGCAGCACACGCCTGGTCTTGGGTAAAGATGTTGCCGGGGAGAGATGTCTTCCGGGCCTCTTTAACTTTTGACATTTCCAAGACCCCCTCCCGAAGTTTCCAGGGTTTTCCCTCCTTTGGCCTCAGGTCCCTCCCTATTCCATGGAAAGAGCTGGTGGGCTATTTTGGGACATGGAGGACTCCTTGGAGGCGGGGCCTAGCTGTGACCTATCGCAGGGGGACTTTGCTCCCTTCCCACCCTGAGGCTGTCGTCAGTCACCGGAGGGGGAGGGGGAGGGGGAGGGGGAATAAAATTTTAAAAAGGACATGAAGCTGAGAGGGAGATGGGGTGATGGGAGGGGGAAGATGGACGGAAGTACCAGCCGACAGATATGTGTACTATACATTTATAAATATGTAGAATTTGCAATGAATAAAAATTACTATTCACAAAATAAGAGAACAATTTAAAAGCTCCACAATCCATGCAGGAGTTGTGGTCAGGGGTATACCCAGTGAACGCCGAAGAAAGTCTCGTCAGCGTTGCGGGAGGGCAGCAGAGGCAGGGTGAGGTTGGTGCAGAGGATGTCCCCGAGGGCCAGGCGAGTCAGGCGCTGGGATGCCACGGTGCAGCTCTGTCCAAAGTGCAGGCGCAGCAGGCTGATGCTGTGGGCGGTGGGGGAGCAGATGCTCACAGTCACGGTGGCCCTGGGCTGCACGGTGCTGCATGCCGCAGAGCAGTTGGCCAGTGTCACTTGGATATGCAGCCTGTAGATGCCATCACGACGGATATATAGCCGTCCCTTCTCCAGCCCTGGTCCATGAGTGAAGGATCTTCCCAAGGTTGGACCGGCCTCCCAGTGCAGCGTAAGGTCCTTCCGAGGAACTGGGGGCAAAAGGTGAAAGGGATGAGAACTGAGGCTAGCCAGGCAGTGGGATTTAGAACCCGGGACTGACGTGGAGGAAGAGAGGTGAAGAACTTAAAGGAAGGGAGGAGAAGAAAAAGAGAAGAGAGATGGATGGATGGGCACACTTGATGCCGGGGAGGCAGAGTGACGGAGAAAAGAGGATAGAGATGAGAGAGAATGAGAGATGCAGAGAGAGCGATATGCAAACATATGGTGTAGAGAGGGAGAGATGGACACACACACATCAGAGAGATGCAAACACACGTGTATGGAAAGACAGATGGACAGAGGAGAGAGAGAACCAGAGAGACATGGTCCAGGGAACACCTAGGGCTCTGTGGCCCCCCCTCTCCCCCTCCCTGTGCTGCTCTGATGCCTGGGAGTTGCCTCTGGGTCCCACCAAATTCCCATCCCTCTTGCTCCCTCTCCAGTAATACCCTGGGCCCAGCTCAGAGGACCGCAAGGGTTTGGGTCAGCATAGCCACGTTGCCTGGGTGAGGGGAAACTGGTCATGGGCTGGACACATTACCCCTTCCACCGGGATGAAGAAGGGACCTAGCAAAGTCCCTCATTAAGTATCCTTGTGATGGCTCCTTAGATGGTCAGCTGAGGTCTAGAATCACAGCGGAAACAAATCTGTCACCATTTATATAGATGATGGTAACTGAGGTGGGAAGACACACCCCGAAGGTGGGAGGCACCATGCCATGTGAAGGAATACAAAGGAAAAAGAGCCGAATGCTCCTCTCTCTACTTCCTGGCCGGATGTGAAATATCTGTTGGTCTCAGCCTCCCCCTCCAGGATGGTCTACAGCCTCCAGCTGCCAGCCTAGCTGACAGAAGCTGGCCCTTCCTTATGTTGCTTCCGTCTGTTACTTGGTTTGCTATTTTGTTCCAGCAATAAAAAAAGTCATGAGACTGTTGATACAAAGACCTTGATTGCCAATCACAGCAGCTAACTGGGGGGGGGGGGGAATCCCTTTAATTAGTTATTGATTTTGAGGCCGGATCTTGCTATACAGGGTACCCTCATGTTCCCGATGTTCCTGCCTCTCAGGCTGCTGAGTACTAGAATGATGACTGTACCAGCATGCCCAGACAGGACGGATTTATTAAAGTAATGGTTAGTTGGTTATTAGTATCAAGGTCCACGGTACTTATCTAAGTACTAATGTTACTACCAGATGTTTTTAAATTTTGAGACAAAATTTTGCTTGTAGCCTGAGCTGGCCCAGAACTTGCAATGCCCCTGCCCCAGATTCCTGAGGGCTTGAATGCCAGATGTGCAACACCATACCCCATAGGGCCTGACTTTAAAGGACAGATCCAATCCTAGCACGCCACAAGTACCATTTAGGCTTAGTTTGCTTTGCCTAGTCTTCAGGACTTGTGTTTTCCTTGGCGTGTTTGTAGGAGTGCCACGGAACCCAGAGTCTCCCTTATGTTTTGAAAGTACTCTGTCACTAAGCGACATCCCCAGCCCCTCACTGGGGGATTCTAGGCGGGGCTCCACCCTGACCACGCCCCCAGACCCTCACTGGGGGATTCTAGGCGGGGCTCCACCCCTGGCCACTCCTCCCCTGTCCCTTTCACTAAGATGCAGCCTTCTTGTACACAAGCTGCATACACCAGGTGCGGAGAAAACAAAGGGATGTGAGTAGCTGGATCATCGCAGCTGCTTGTGTTGTGTCTGAACTTTGTGAGGAAAGGAGAGGATGACTGAGGTGGTGTGTTCCTGGAATCATGCGTCCCCATTTTAGGAGCCTCTCTCTACCTCCTTTTACTCTCTCTCTCTCCCTTTCTCAATTTCTTATGAGACACGGCCTCTTATATCCCAGACTGGCCTTGAACTCCTTGACTTCCTGTTCCTCCTGCTTGTGCCCCCTTGTGCTGGGATGGCAGTGTGCACCACCACATCTGGTTTACGTGGTGCTGGGCTGGTGAGCCAGGCAGCGCTGTAACCACTGAGTCACATCCCAGGCTGGCTTCAAACTCCCAGTGCAGCAGAGGATGACCTCGAACTCCTAACCCTCCTGCCTCTGTTGCCCAAATGCTGGGATGACAAGTGTGGACCAGCAGCCTGGCTCATGTGGTGCCGAGGATGGAACCCAGGGCCTTTTGGGTGCTGGGTGCTGGTTCTACCTACTCAGGCGGAGCCAGGGGCCACTCCTTTCCTATGTTTCCTCTCTCTCTCTCTCTCTCTCTCTCTCTCTCTCTCTCTCTCTCCTCCCTCCCTCCCTCCCTCTCTCTTTCCCTGCCTCCCTCTCTCCTTCCCTCCCCCCCTCTTTCTTGTCCTCACCTCCCACCCCACTGGATTTCCAGCCTTACCTGTGAGATTCAGCTGTAACTCAGCTACATGCGCCTGGAAAAAAAAATACCGGAAAACAGAGAAAGCTCATGAGCGCCCACAGCTTGAGAGACTCTCGGGGTTCCCTGTGTGCCTGCTTGCTGCCGTCCACGCTGCATTCCCACCGGCCTATTTTGCTCGTTTTTCGTTGTAAAGTCTTATCTAGACCAGTGCGAAGTTGCAGTTACAAGATCGCTGAAAAAAATTACTGGTTTGTTTTCCTGGAACCGGGGTCGGGTGGGGGGCTCAGGCCATCCTCCCCCCACTTGCGGGACCTTTCAGCCCCGGGAAGCTCCCCGCCCCCCTGCATTAGTGAGGTTCCCAGCAGCATCTGCGCCTACCCGGGCGTGGTGGGGGAGCCCGGCTGGGTCATCCCGGCCGCTCAAGGCTGCATCTTTCCCAGCCCGGGATCCCCCGTGCGCTCTCAGGCAGCTGAGACCGGCCTGCCCTCCCTGCTCGGCCTCTCCTGTCTTCTGTCTATCTCACCTTCCTCTTTTCGACCCATTTCGTTCCGATTTTGCCTCTTTTTCGTGTCCTTTGCTTGTGCTCCTGCGCATCCTTCCCGAGCCTGTCCGGTCCCTCCAGAGTGCTTGAGTTCCTGTCTCCCCTCCTCCCCCTTCTCGCCCTCTCTCACCTCAAGTGGCTCCAGCTGCGTCTTCTGCTGCTGCCTCCGGAAGAGGACACAGTAGATCAAACAGGAGATGAAAAGAATCAACACCATCAGGAGGCCGAAGCGCAGGTAGGTGTTCCAGCTCGGGCGGAACAGCACCCAGGGGCAAGGGCGACCTTCCTCCACCATCCTTGCTAGCGGGCGCTGCATCCTCTGATGGCGACGGCCAGAAGACAGCAGGAAGCTGCAGCCTCCTCACTTGAGCTCTTGTGGCCTGCCTTGACCTGCCCTTAGAATGGGGATGTCCGACGCAGGGGAAGAACTGGGTCTCTTCACAGTGACAGGGAAATCCCCCGTGCTTGTGGCACCCCTGCCATCTTACAGACAGGCCCGCCCCAGCCTGTCCCTTAGGCACAAAACATTCTGTACCCAGCCCCTGGTGTTCATTCATTCATTCAACAAACCGTTTATTGAGTATCTATTAGTGATTCAGTACTGGGCTGGGTTGCTAGGAAATTAGGAAGCATCTGCATCCAGGGGTCCCGCGTGCTCCCCAAATATTTGAACATGACTATAGACACTTCCATGCGGGCCCTAATAAGCATCTCACACTGGAACTCACTATATAGCCCAGGCTGGCCTAGAACTTGTCATGTTGCCCAGCGTTGCCTGCATCTCTCAAGCAGCCCAGGCAGATGTGGATCTTGTAGCCCAGGCTGGCCTCTGACTCATCCTCTGACTTTGGCTGTGAGTCACCACACCTGACTTGTCCTGATGGCTGGCTTATCCAATAGCTGCTGGCCCCTCCGTTCATGTCCCCGGAAGCTGAGAACGTGACCCTATTTGAAAGGAGACACAGCTGTTGCATTCATGAATGCATAATTACTGCAGCTGTGATTATGAGCCCAAGATGGCCCGGCAAGGTTCGTCATGGACACGGGGAGGGGCCTGAGACCCCTCTTCTTCCTGTGGCTTTTGGGTAAGTTGTCGCTGCTCCAGGAAGACAGGGTCCCACCGACGACACAGAGCAGCTGATAGTTCACTTAGAGCTAGCAAAGAGGTAAGAAAACCCTCCTTGGAGAGAGGGGACTGAGCTGGGCAGCGGCTGCCCAGCCTGGCAGGCCTGGGGCTTGTATCTCTCCGGTCCCTGGTCTCCCTTCCCCTGGGCCTCCCCTGGGTGGGCACTCCAAGAGAGCATTGTGTTCTTCATGTCTGTTCTATAAGATGTCGGACACATCTACTACTTCAAGTTCCCCTGAAGTTCAGACGTTCACTAGAGAAAAGGGCATTGGGAAGAGGTTGCCTCTAAAACAGGTTTGAACTGACCCAGCTTAGAGGTGACCACTACTACCTTTATATCCTGTTTTGGGGGGAACTTGTTGGACAGTGGCCCCTGAATTTCAGATGTAGTCCAGTTAACATGGGGCTAGAGAGATGTCTCAGTAGTTAAGATCTAGTCCCTTCCAGAGGACTCAGTTCCAAGCACCCTTGTCAAGTGGTTAAGAAAGATCTGGAATTCCAGTTCCAGGATTTGGCATCTCTGGTTTCCATGGGCACCTGCACTCATGTGCACATACCCTCCCCATACACATAAATAAAATAAACCAACCTTTTAAAAATATGAAGTGGGCTGAGTTTTTAGTCATTTTAAAAATGACTCAGTGGGTAAAGGCCTTGTTAAGCAAGCATGAGAACCCCCGAGTTTGATCTCTGAAAGTGGGGTACAGCAATGCCTGCTTGTTACTGCAGCCTGCTGGGAGGCAGAGACAGGAGGACCTTGGCAGCTCAGTGCCCATCCTAGCTGAAATGGAGAGCTCTGGGCTCAGTGAGAAACCTGGGTGCAGGGCAGGAGAGGAAAGCATCTGGTGTCAACCGTCTGCCTCCGCATGCAACTGCAGGAGGCAGTGTGCCCTGTCTCCTACACATGCACACTTGCACATGACGTGAAAAGACACCTGAGAAGTAGGGACTTGGGACCTGTGAAGAGCTAAGCAGGGTACAGCCACCACTCGAGAGGATGGAGTGACTCTCTCCTCCAGCCTTCAGAGGGGGTGTGGCCTCCCTGATACCCTTGTTTCAGAGCCCTGACCTCTACAACAGTTTGTTTTTAAATCTTTAATTATGTGTAGGAATGTGTGTGTGTGTGTGTGTGTGTGTGTGTGTGTGTGTGCGCATGCATGCACACATGAGTGCAAAAAAAGAGATGGTGTTGGAGCTGGAGTTACAGGTGGTTGAGAGCTGCCAGATGTGGGTCCTTGGACCCAAACTTGGACCCTGTGCAAGAACAGCAAGTACTTGTCATTGCTAAGTCATTTCTTAAAGCTTTGGGGGGCTTTAAGCCATCTGATGTGTGGGCTGTTTTCCTGATAGGGTTTCTATTACTGTGGTGAACACCAGGACCAAAACAACTTGGAGAGGGATGGGTTAATTTCACCTCACAGTTCCTCATCATTGAGGGAAGGCAGGGCAGGACTGAGGTGGGACTGAGGAGGGAGCTGAGGAGGAGCGAGCGCTGCTTACTGACTTGCTCAGTCTGCCTTCTTGTACACTTAGGACCATCTGAACAGAAGTAGTGCATAATGTGCCGGCCCCTCCTGTGCGTGTTCTGAGAAGGTCCATGGAGGAAAAGGGTTACTCCAAGATGACTTTGGGCTGAGCAAAAGCAGCAGTGTGACCCAGCTTCTGGTAGACTGACAGCTCACTGCTTCCTAAAAAGCATCCTTATTGTTACACAGTTTACACCTTTAGCAAGCGATTTCCACAAATCAAAACCTCTTATCTGGAGCTGTTTGAAGGAGACTTTTGCCTAAGCAATCCTCGGCCAGGAGACCTCCTGGTTTGCCAGGTTCTCCCATTACTAAGTTTTGCAAAAGCTCTGGAATCCTTCAGGAAGGACTCAGATAAGAATCACTGAC